TTCCCCCTTCTCCCCCTCCCTCCCGGGCCCCCCCAGGTGCTTCTGCCGGCCTGGAGTCATGGCAGGACCCTTTTGTGGCTGATGGGCTGGGTGGGCAGGCGGGCAGAGTCTCCGCTGTCTGACAAGGCACGTGGCCCCGTGCGGTGGTCCCCGGGGGCCCACGTCACCCTGTCTCACCCGGTCTCCCTCTCTCTCCCCCGTCTCCCCTTGCTGGCGCTGTGGTGACCAGAGGAGAAGCCAAGACCCAAGTGAGTGTGGAGTCCGGGCAGGGCTGGGCGCTGGGTGTGCCGGGTGGGTGTGAGGCTTGTGCTGAAGGAGAAGCCAGGGTGCAGGGGGTGGCGACCAGGGCCGCTGGGAAACGGGAGGTCCAGCAGGGTGCGGGCAAGGAGGGCTTCCTGCAGGAGGAGACGACAGAGCCCTCGTGGCTGTCTCGGGATCTCACCGTGCCCGGCCACACTGTGGGGTCTCCCAGGGTGCCCAATGGGAAAATAGACATAGAAGTGGGTTGGGGGGCAGACAAGAGGAAGGACCTCCCATCCCAACCTGCTCTGAATAGTTTGCCGCTTGGGGACGCCGTTCCCCTTTGGAGGACGACTGCTTTTTGGAGGGTCTTGCCCTCCTTGGTGAGGATTCCAGGGGCTTTGCCATCAGATCCTCCCGCGTTTCTGCTTCTGATCAACCCCCCCGTGACCCTCCCTCTTACCCCTGAGTATTTGTGTCTACGTGCAGGAGACGGGGTTTTCTAGCACGTTCACTCACGCCCGCGGCTTGCTCTCACTCGGGGAGCACAGCAGACCCTCCAAAGGAGCGCGTGTCTGCAAGGGGCCTCGCCAGCACACTTCTATCCCAGGCACTTTATTTTTCAGCGATTGCAAGTCAAGTGACGCCGGATTGCGAGACGTCTTCTCGTCTTCGAAAAATTGTTTGTGTTTTCATTATGAAAATAAAACACCTCATTAAAGAAAATTTGGAAAATACGTAAAAGTCAAACGAAGGGGTAAAAAAAAAAAAACCCCATCTGTAATTCTCCCGCCCGGCCAGTCGGCCCCGTGGAAAAGAGCAGGGAGAAATAAAAAGCCGTATTTCTTCCTCCTCTTTTTCCATGCATAGGGCTCGGAAAAAGGTTGAGACTCTGTGTTGTTTTTCAAACACCAAGCTGTCTATACAGCCTTGAGTTCTGCCTTGAAAAAAAAAAGTAGCACTATTCATAAGTATTTTTCCATGTTTTTGCATCGTCTTCTTAAATATTTTGAATGGCCACATAATATTCCATCCATCGGACAAACCGTCCTTTTCCTCGCCGGTGCCCCCCTTCTCCCCCGGCGCCCCCCGCGCGCGCCTCCCCCGATATTTTACGATCGTAAATAACGTGGGGTGGAAGGCATTTGCCGTCTGTAGAGATATTTCCCTGGGCTGCGTTCCCAGAGCTGGAATGACTGGGTCAAAGAGTATGAATGTTCTTGAGGCTCTGACGCCCACTGCCAAATCCCCATCCGCAAGGGCCCGGCCCGCGCCGCCTCCACGTGGGACGGGGGGGGGGTGCGGGGGTGGGTCTGCACCCCCCACCCTCCCCACCTCGCCCGGACAGTAACATGCTTTGACGTCCCAGCCCCGACGGGTGAGAAGCGGGCCCCTCGTGCGTGCTTGCCTTCACATTCCACTGGCCGCCGCGGCCGCCTCCCCCGCGTGTGGACGGGGTCGTTCCTCCTTGAGAGTGGGTAGCTGTGTCCTTTGCCCATTTATCTTACGGTGGTGACGCTGCGATGTTTTCCTAATCGCCGGTTTGCAGAAGGATATAAGTCTTCTCTGTATTTGCTGAAAATATTTTTTTAGTCTGGGTTTTTTGGGTTTTTTTTTTTTTGGCCTTTCCATTTTTGCTTTTTTTTCCCCCCACATACATAAGTTTTTCATTTGCGTCGAGTCATCTGACCATCTCACCCCTCAGAGGGATGTTCTCGTGTTTCGGAGCTTAGGAAATCCCTTCCCCCTCCAGGGGGACATTCAATTGATCGATATTCCGTTCCGATTTCTTCTGTGTTTCAAAAAATTGTTGTCGCGGTTTTAACTCTTTGCTCCATCTGGAACATATTGGCGGAGGATGGGGGTTGTACACCCTGCTGGATTGGGGGAGCCTTGTTTTCTCTCCGAATGCCTTCTCCCCAGCTCCCCTCCCCCTTCTTTTGGGGCCCACAGAGAGAGAGAGAGAGAGAGAGAGAGAGAGAGAGAGAGAGATTAAAGGGGGGGCTGGAGAGATGTGAAGGGTTGCAACGCCCTTCCTGACCGCAGAGGCCAAGGCCGCCAAGGCTTCTGCCCCTACCAGGAGCGTTTGTAGATGTGTTTGTAAAAGAAGCGGAGGGGGGCTTCCCGGGTAGACGGGGCAAAGCCGCACCCACAATGTTCAGAAGACAGGCAAGGCAGAAGGCCCCGAACAGCCGGAACCTTCTGGAAGGGGTCAAGCCACTCTCAGGGTGGCAGGCTATCCATCTGATAAGAACAAAATTCAGGCAAACATAGCCAAGGTGCCCTCAGCCAGGGCAAGGTCTGGAGGGTGTGGGGGCTAGCCAGGGCTGGGGCTGGCGGGTCAGGCCAGCCCCTGGGAAGAGTCTCCCGCGGTCCCTGCTCACAAGCGTCTCTCTCTTCCTCAGACTCACTGCTCCGAAGATCCCCGAAGGGGAGAAAGTAGACTTCGATGTAAGTGCACGGGACTCAGATCAAACACGCCCCAAGCCCCAGCCTCTGGGCTCCAGGCTAGGCCTGTGAAGGCCATCGCCTCCCAAGTAGCCAGGGCTGGGGCTTCCTGGTTTCAGGAAATTCTACCACGATTGTTTCCTGGAACAGAGGAAACTCCTCTAGGAGAAACCTCTCTCTCTTCCCTTCTCCCGCATCCATCTTTCTATCCCTCTATCTACTTATTCACTCCGCCATCCACCCACTCATGCAGTCCCTCAGCCGTCTACCCTCCAATCACCCCACCATTCACTCACCACCTCTCCCACCCACTCATCCATCCATCCATCTATCCACTTATTCACTCACTATCCATACATTTGACCATCAACACATCCATACATCATCTACATCCATTCATACAGCCATATCCACCCAACCATCCAACCAGTCTCTTATCCATCCATTCACCCATCCAACCACCCACCCATTCTCCCATCCACCTATCCATTCACCCATCCATCCATCCATGCACCCACCCATCCACCCCCAACCATCCATCCAACCACCTACTAGCCATCCAACCACCCATCCGTTCATCTACCCCACGTCCAGCCAGCCATCCACCCACCCACCCAACCATCCATCCATCCATCCATCCATCCATCCATCCATCCACCCACTCTCTTATCCATCCATTCACCCATCCAACCACTCACCCACTCTCCCATTCACCTATCCATCCACCCATCCATCCATCCATCCATGCACCCACCCATCCACCCCCCAACCACCCATCCAACCACCTACTAGCCATCCAACCACCCATCCGTTCATCTACCCCACATCCAGCCAGCCATCCACCCACCCACCCAACCATCCATCCATCCATCCATCCATCCATCCGTCCATCCACCCACTCTCCCAGTCACCCATTTCTCTATCCATCCACTCACCCATCCACCCACTCATCCAGCCCCTCAGCCATCTACCCTCCAATCACCCCATCATTCACTCACCACCTCTCCCACCCACTCATCCATCCATCCATCTATCCACTTATTCACTCACTATCCATACATTTGACCATCAACACATCCATACATCATCAACATCCATTCATACAGCCATATCCACCCAACCATCCAACCAGTCTCTTATCCATCCATTCACCCATCCAACCACCCACCCACTCTCCCATCCACCTATCCATCCACCCATCCATCCATCCATGCACCCACCCATCCACCCCCCAGCCATCCATCCAACCACCTACTAGCCATCCAACCACCCATCCGTTCATCTACCCCACGTCCAGCCAGCCATCCACCCACCCACCCAACCGTCCATCCGTCCACCCACTCTCCCACTCACCCATTTCTCTATCCATCCACTCACCCACCCGTCTGTCACCTGTTCACCCACCTATCTGTCCGTTTGCCCACTTTCTCATCCATTCTTCCGTTACCCACACCTCCATCCATTTATCCATCCGCCCACCCATTCACTCACCTACCCAGCCCCTCACCCATCACCCACCCATCCACCCACCCATCCCTTTCTCCAACCATCCATCCACCCGTCTCTTCATCCATCCTGCTCTCACTCATCCATCTCTCAACCCATCTCTTCAGCACCTGCTCATCTGTTCATTCAAGCAGTGTATCTCGCTCAACAGTCTTCCTTCTGCCAGGCCCAGGCAAGGCGTGTCTGAGGGTGATGATGGAGCCAAGTCAGACCCAGTCCATCCTGGGAATTCTGATGACCTTATGAGCTGGGCAGGGCCTGGGGCTCATCCCCTGGAAGGGCACCCCCCTGCCCTGTGGCTCAGGGTGCAAGCCGGCCAAACTGTGGGCAAGTGGCAAGGTTTCCTGGTGGCCAGAGGGATCAGGGCTTCTCTGCTGGAGCAAAGGCCGGTGCCCCCAGCTGCAGGCAGGCCGGGCAGGACAGGGCTGGATGGGAAGAGAGGGGAGGGGGCTGACAGGCCCCTTCCCACCCTCAGGACATTCAGAAGAAGCGCCAGAACAAAGACCTCATGGAGCTCCAGGCCCTCATCGACAGCCACTTCGAGGCCCGGAAGAAGGAGGAGGAGGAGCTGATTGCCCTCAAGGAGAGAATCGTGAGTGGGGAGCAGGTGAAGTGGGTGCTGACGGGCACTCCAAGGCCAAGCTGACCCTCTCCTTGGCCGTAGGAGAAGCGCCGAGCAGAGAGAGCTGAGCAGCAGAGGATTCGTGCCGAGAAGGAGCGGGAGCGCCAGAACAGACTGGCAGTAAGGACGGCGCCACCAGCCCCAGCCCCCGCCCCCGCCCTGTGTCCCAGGCCCCGCGCAATGCGGGGTCCAGACCTCCCTCCTCCTGGAGTTCCTCTCAACATCGCCCACAGTCAGAGCCACTGACCAAGGCTCCTGTTCCCTACAGAACCTCTTGCAAGAGGGGAGACCTTGACCCGGGCTCAGGGCTGTTCTAAGCGCAAGGTGGGCCCGTAAAGCCCACCCAGAGAGCATAGCCCCCTTCCCGTGCCTGAGGGTCTTGGGGATGGGGTCTCTACAGGAGGAAAAGGCCAGGAGGGAGGAGGAAGATGCCAAGAGAAGAGCTGAGGACGACCTGAAGAAGAAGAAGGCTCTGTCCTCCATGGGCGCCAACTACAGCAGCTACCTGGCCAAGGTGAGATAAGGTGCCAGAGCCCTCAGCTGACCAGGACCACAGCCCTCCTGAGACAGGGCCCCCGAGCCGCGCCCCGGGCCCTCAACCTGGCCGGGGGCCGCCTGTCTTGCGGCCAGGAGCCCCAAGCTGCGCCCAGAGCCCTCAGCCCGGCTGGGACGACGCCCTTCCCAAGACTAGGCCCCCGAGCTGCGCCCCGGGCCCTCAGCCTGGCCGGGGCGCTCCCCTCCTGAGACCAGGCCCGTGTCCGCAGGCTGACCAGAAGAGAGGCAAGAAGCAAACGGCCCGAGAGATGAAGAAGAAGATCCTGGCCGAGAGACGCAAGCCCCTCAGTATTGACCATCTCAGCGACGACAAGCTGAGGTGAGGGAGGCGGTGTGGGGAGGCTCTGCCCTGGGGGCCGTGGCTGCAGGGACCTTGTCCAGCCCAGCCCCCTTTGCCCAACCCCCCAGGGACAAGGCCAAGGAGCTCTGGGACACCCTGTACCAGCTCGAGACCGACAAGTTCGAGTTTGGGGAGAAACTGAAGCGTCAGAAATACGACGTGAGTCCAGGCCCCTCCCTGGGCCCCGCGACCTCCCCCCCCAGCAGGGCCGGCCCCTCCCTCATCCCCAGCGTCCTCGGACCCGCCCACCCCTGGGACTGGGGCCCTGGAGAGCCCCCCAGGCCATCCTCGGGGACCCCTGGGAGTCCGTCCTCCAGGCGGGCCGTGGAGCTGAGCAGTCAGCCCGGCCTTGGCAGGTGGCAGGGGCAGCCGACGGTGAGGGGAGCAGCCATGGCAGAGTGGCTTCAGGAGGAGCCGTTTTCTTTTCCTTTTTCTTTTTTTTCCTGAGCCGAAGTCGCACTCTGTCACTCAGGCTGGAGTGCTTGACCTCCTGGGCTCAGGTGATCCTCTTGCCTCTGTCTCCGGAATAGCTGGGACCATCGTCATCCGCCACCACACCCAGCTAATTTTTTGACTTTTTGTAGCGATAAGGTCTCGCTGTACTATCCAGGCCAGCCTCAAACCCCTTGACTCAACAGTCCTCCCGCCTCGGCCTCCGAAAGAGCTGACATGACAGGCGTGAGCCACCATGCCCCTCCAGGGTCCATTTTCTGAGTCCCCTTGGCAAGGCCCCAGCGTTCCCGAGCTCACCTCTGGGACACAGCGTCTCTGTGGTGTGGGGCATCCCTCCCTCACGGCCTCCTCTGCAAACCCAAGCGTGGGCCACCCTCAGAGCCCCCAGACATCTGCTTCCTCAGAGTGGGCCAAGAGGGGTGACCCACGCCTTCACCCCACAGCCGGGACCTGCAGTTCTTGGGGGCTGCCTGGTGTTGCCTGCAAAGGGGCCCAGGAAGCCCTACAGACTTCCCTTGCTGAGGGCAAAGTGGGGGTCAGGAAGCAACCCGCCTGGGCGGTCCACGGGGTCAGGGTGGGGGCATCGCGGACTGTAATGGAAGTCAAGCTGCTTCCCACCCTCGGAACCATCGGCATGGGCTCTGGGAGGGAGCATCGGCCTCAGGTGTTCACATGCTTGGTGCAAACATGGACACCTCCAGCCCCACCCTCCATGTGAGACACCCACCCCTCCAGCCCCCAAGGGCCCCCAGGGGACAGCTCGAGTGGCAGGGCATGCCTCTGGCCTCTCCCACGGGGACCTCCTGGCAGCCAGTGACCGGTGCCGACTGCCATAGGCCCTGGGCAAGCCACCCCGTCTGTCTGCCTCGAAGTCCTCACCTCTGTCAGAGGCCGAACGACCACACCCCTCCCAGAGCTGTCCCCCAGGGGTCCAGACATGGGGCAGTGCTGGCCTCACCCACTCACGATCCCAGAGCAGTGTTGGGGACTGCTGCCTCCCAACAGAAGCGGCCACGTTGCGTCCTGAGGATGCTGAGCCTGGAGGCTGTGCCAGGCCGGCCCCGCCCACCGCGGGGTCTTGACGCCTCAGCCACCCACCCAGCCACGTAACGTCTTGGTCTTTCTAGATCATGAATGTCCGGGCCAGAGTGCAGATGCTGGCCAAGTTGTAAGTAGCCGGCCCGCCGTGGGCCAGGCTCATGGGTGTGCAGTGCACGGCGAGGCTCTCGCATGGCAGAAATCTGGGTCACTCAGGACGCTGGCGGCCGGGGGCCTGGAGCCTCCCTGGCCCACCTCCTCCCTCGTGCCTGCAGCCCCGGGGGCATCGGGCTGGCCTGCTGTCCTTGCCGGCAGG